CGCGTCTTGGACTTGGGTGACAACGACACGCTCCAGTCTATCTGGGGTAAAGAGAGCGCGGTGAAGATCCTGGAAAGGGAATGCTACAAAGAGCTTTGGGAGGGTGGAGTGAAACCGTTGTTTGGGCAGAATCGCAGGGTGGCCATCTTGGTTCTGGGAAACCCAGGCATTGGAAAGACTGGTTTCTTGCTCTACGTGCTCGTCATCTTGCTCAAAGAGAAGAGGAAAGTCTTGTTGCGAACAAAAGGTGGTTCTCTTTATTACTTCAATCCAGATGCGGCTGGGAACCACCATACTTGCATGGTTGGGAGTTATAGCGAGGCGAGGCTGGACAGGGATCGAGACCTTGTCTTTCTGGCGGACGGAAAGCTATCGGACGTGCCCGTTTTTCTTGGAAAGGCGCTTCTTGCGCCTACACCTCTCCGGAGCAACTACAAGGACTACGAGAACGATGCTGCGTGCAGGAAGCTTTTTCTACCGGTGTGGCCTAGCAGGGAGCTTTCACTTCTGAGGCAAGTAGTATTTCCGGACAAGGATCTGCAGGCTACGAATGAGAGATACAAACAATGGGGTGGAATCCCGAGATATGTCTTGGAGACCACCTCGGATGATTTGGCAGGCATCATTCAGAGAATGCCAGCCTTGGCAGACGTTGTGACAGCCGCGTCTTCTGGTGCTGTCGAGTCGGATCATCCAAGTCATAAAGCTCTCTATCTACGAGTCCATGACAATTATAAGAGCTACGACTTGCAGTATGCTTCTCCTTTTGTGAGGAGGACCGTGTATGAGAAGCTTCACAGGGATCAAGTCAACACGCTCAGAGCCTTCGTATCTTTCAGGGGAACTGCACTGCAGGGATTCGCTGCTTTGAAAGGAGGCGTTTTACAAGAACACTTCAGAAGTATCTCGCAGAACACCAAGCTCTTCAGAGTGTGTGAGGTTTTTGAAGACGTGGCTACTAAATCGACAGGACCATTAATGCAGGAATTTACTTTTGGCAAGCCTGTTACAGTTTGGAGCGTCGATGACTTGACTTCACTGTACGTCTACGACTCTATAGTATGGCCTGAGAACCCCATCGAGGAGACCTTGGACGCTCTGCTCCTAACCAAGAACGCTGCAAAACAAGATGTTTTGCAGCTCTTTCAAGTGACAGTGACCTCTGGAAGACATGGCCACGGGCTTAAATACAACGGACTCTTGAGAGTGATGGACAAGTTTAAGGTTCCTCCAGTCCGAGTTGAAGTTTACATAGTTACTACGAACGATCTCTTTGCAGATGCAGGCTGGCAGAATTGGAGGATCAAGAACAACAATGTTTTGGCTGACAAGAAAATCAAGCAGCGGCTCATAGGTATTCGGCAGTTTGCATTGAATTCTAACGCGTAGGCTAAATGCTCTAAGTCCTTCCCAATTCAGGTTTGAGTTTTCGACAATATATTGTATGAATAACGATATAATGTATTCTGTAGGTTGAAATATGTGCTGTGATTACGAAGGGTTGGATTCTGGTATGAACGGCGATACAGATCCATCTTTTCTTCTAGCCTTAACATAGAAGCATGATTCTGTCATTGGTCTTTATGTAACTGATACGTCAAAGGTGTTGTTTATACCTCTTGTTTATAATTGTTTTATCTGATTCCATCATCTATTCTCAGGTTCGGGACGACTATACCAGGTGAAAACTGAGGTCTATCTTAACCGAGTTACAGCCTGTTGAACACACATGGTTTTCTGGCGGATGCAACCGAGAAAGGGCTGCGTGAATACACAAAAAAACCTTCGTTCACTAAATTAACTCCATCTAAAGAGTTTTGGGATGCCGACCAAACGCCAAAGGAATTGAGTCTATCCTATAAGGAGGCACTGGGCCAGATATGTTGCGGATTAGCCAAGCGGAAGCAGTTATGTTTGCGTTTGGAGGCTGCATTTCCTACTAAAGACAAGTTTTAATCCATAAACAGGTTCTAGAGCTTGGGAGAACTGCCCGGTTTGGATATCTCAAAGGAGACTTTTGGCAGCGAAGCTTGGTCACAATCTCACATGGTGCTTGATAGTGCAGCTTTGGAAAATTTGGAGATACTTGAAAACAACTCAAATGATGGCACCTGAGGGTGAGTAGTTACAACTGGAAGTTCATAGGTTTAGTTTTGCGTGATTTCAGGACGCTCTTTATGTTTGCGGCTGACAGAACCTTCAACATATATTTTGTAACTGTAGTTGCAGTGTTTGAACTTCCAAAGTAAATATATGCACCAATCTGTGTGTTGTTACACTTGAGTAGCTCGTTAACTTCCTTGTGAGGAAGTTCCTTTCCATTGTGCATTAGGATCCTTAAGTTCCCATTAGAATTGCTCTATAGTAGCATTTAACGTGAGGGTGAATTTGAATCTCAGAGTTGGCAAAACGTAGTAGGCATGTGGCCATCTTGGATGAGTCCACCAGCACGGAGTCTCCAACTAGTGTTGTGAGGCCAACGAGCACTTGAGCACTTGCATGCTCAAGAAACTTAGCTGCAAGGCCTCCCAAGCACACCTAAGTCCTAAGTAGGAAGCCAGGATCAGCCCAGCCCCCAACTCAAGCATGGCTTCCCAACTCTCACATCATTTATATACATCCGCCACCACCGCCAGCTTCCTGGGCTACCACACACTCCGTTTCCAGGGAGAGACCACTTTTCAGTGAGAGAGTAGAGCTCTCGGTATCTGTCAGGGAGAGTCAATTGGATTTTTGCGGCTGCCTTGAGACCCATGTGCATGGACTTGGCAAGTGTAGTCTGAGCATGGTTTAGTCCGTGAACCTATTGTGGTCCCGTAAAGACTCTTGGTGCCCCACTTTAGCTAAAACATGGTGATGGTTACGTTATCCTTTCTATGTTGAGGTTTGAGTTTATCTTTTTGGATTATTACCATATGTTGTTATCTATATTTATGTCATGTAATCAAGTTTGTCCATTCTTTATGACAATGGTTACAATCATGCCAAATGTAACTTTAAAGATTTTTATCTTTGTTTCATACTCCTTTATTTTCTGTTTCCTTTCTCTTACATAGCAGATAGTAATGGGTAAATAAAAAATAATAAAACTAGAAGTAAAAGCAAAGGGATGAAATAGAATAGAGGTTTTCTTCTTGCTCTTATATTTCCTCTCTAAAGCCCTTGGATAGTATTTGTGCTATAGCAATTGACCAATTTAAAAAAAAGTATGTTAATTTTTTTAATTTTGACTTATTTTCTAAGGCAAAAATTGCAATACATCAACTAAAGATGCTTATCTAATTAAGGTGTTTTCTCTAGACTTTACACACAATTTTTGCAAGGTTTGCAAGTTAATCTTAAGAAACTTGTGGCTATTTTAAAGTTCTCTATGCTGAAGTGTATGAAAAACATGTAATGCTTCCTTTTCAAAGTGGAATATCTAATTTCTAATCACACTACACCATTGTAAACATTGTTAATATCATCCGAGTATGCATTTATAAATTTTAAGTGTGACAAATTCTAAAGTTTTACTGTCCTTTTGGGTTATTCTCCTCCCAATTAAGAAGTAGCTTTACACTTTTTACCATGCATTAACAAGTATTTTTAACTCAATGACCTAGGGAGTGATTCTTCAATTTAGATATACTCACCTTGTAATCCCACACACTAGGATTAATGTTATTATTCATGGGCTTCTGTGTGCCCATCACTAGCTTAGCCAAAATCCTTTTTGGGTTTGTCCAATTTAAATAGACAGACTTTTCCCATCTGTAGCTTTCCACAACCTTGGATATTATATAGCACTTCTTATCTATTATTCTTTAAAGACTTAGTCTTTAGGGCTTTATCTAATCCTCTCATGATACTAAATACCACTTCTTGGGTGTTTTAAAGTGTTTAAGTGTCTCAATAATGACTTCTTTGACAATAAACATTTTCTTTTATGACATTAACTCATTATATTGCAACACAAGTAATTTATCCCCTAAGGGATATATTTAACTCCTTTCTTGTCCCAATAAAAAATCTTAGGAAGTTGATTTTTACCAATTCAATCAATTATGTCACATTTTTTGTTTATTTGCTTCATAGTCATCAAGTCCTACAACTTATTGTTGGTGCTTCCACACCTCCGTCATTATTTAGGTTCACACACTCGAATTACATGCTTTATAGTTTAGGCTATATCAATTCTATTTCCATTAAGATTCCTTTGGCAAAAGTTTTCATAAACTAACCAACTTGATTTCAAGGTTTCATCCTTTGAAACATTTGATGTTTCTACATCATCAGCCCTATGAGCTTACTCTTACGACACTTCCCACTTATGTTTAAGTATTGCCAAAACTATAATAGTCATTTCTTATGCCAAATATCAATCAACACTGCGACATAGTATTTACACACAACCCTTTGTCAAAGTTATTTTTTTTTGTGAACACCTTTTCCCACAACTTTAGTATGGCCTATCTCAAATCAATGAGATACCTACTAGTCTCATACTTGGATCTCATGATCCTCCCCATCCTTCATAGGGTACAACACACTTTAGTTAAATGTTTCCACCAATCCTTTAAGATTATTCCTTAACTCCACTTAAATCATCTTACTTTTTAGACTTTGTTAATCTAATGACTCGTAAGGTTCTAGCCTCATGGCTACTTTGAAATGCTAGCTCATCAGAATACAACTTCTTGTATTCATGTCCCACTCACAATGACTATTGTGGCAAATGTTACTTTGACACTTGATTATTCTTTATTCCATGTGAAATACTTTTACCCCTTAGGATTATCTGTGTATATGATAAGAATATCGACTCATCCTCTAAATACATCCTCAATTCCTTATGTTGTTCTAGCATTTATTTAAGATAGCCTTGATTACCATTTCAAGGACTTATGTCCTCATTAATATTTGACTTTCTACAGTCACCAACTCCACCCTCAAATTTTCTAGCACCATCCTCAACTATATGAGGATAACCTTATGACTTCATCTAGGAGTTTCTATCATTTATATGATCCCAACTATAGTTGTTTATTACAACTATAGTATCCAATTTTCTAAGTCAAATGCTTTTATGGATTACATCTTCAACTCTTTGAGGAAAACCTTATATTATTCCTAAAATCTAAAAGTTGTTCTCTTATTGGCTTCTTACTATCCATCACATTGTCTACATGGTCATGTATGAACTAAAGTGGAGAGTCATGCCTTCTCAACATGCTATTCCTCGCACTCTTGGGACTTCCTAATGCCAATACAAGTGGTGATATACTTGACCACCAATAAAAGTCAAATTAAGGAAAAGCTTCGATACCAAATTGTAAGCAAATAAATCTTCCATTCTACTTTAGTCATTTAACCACACCTTTAACTACTTGGATTAATATCACTCACAACTTCCATAAGTCCTATTCCTGACTTGGGGATATGTTAGCCCTGTGAATGGCATTTATGCAACTTAGCCTTTGCACTTAATCCAAGTGCTCCACATGTTTGATCCCATGACTAACACCCCTAGGGTACCACTAACATATCAGCCTGTTATGCTAAGGCTATATCCATTTACCTTTGTCTCATTAGTAGTCTAAAACCACATGTGCCATAGTCCCGTTTCTCAAAGATTAGGCCATTCATCCATGAGTGGTTAACCCAAGACCACACCTTAGTATCCTTAGGATGTTCAAAGATATGGGGAACACCCTTCCTTAATATCCCTCCATCAGTCCCTACTAAGTCCCACTTTGTCCACAATAATGCTTGCCAACACCACTATTGAGTTAGGGTCTGAATGGTCGACTGCAAACTCCCATTGACATCTAAGACTTCCTCACCAAGTGACCATGCCCTTAGTCACTATGTAAGGGGATTGCTCTTCTTTCTTTTGGACTTTGAGACAACACCATGACTTTATGTGAGTCTCGTGGGTACTTTCCCTACCTTCCACCCTTAGGATCCTTAGCTATGTGGCTAGAGCAAGGTTCCAATGAGCCACGCAAGGTATCCAAGTAGGTAGTGCCATCCACACTTGGATTGGGAGAATCGACCATTCAATCTCCCGAGGGAGCTAGAGTCGACTCTTGAACACTTCACTAAGTTACCCCACTTGTCCATCTATATTCACTCTAACCTTGGACTCCTTAATAATTATATCATCACCCACATTGTGGGTATAGCCATTAGCTTTTCTTGGCCAAACTAGTTCCACTAGAGTCTTCCCCTTATTATCCTTTTGGAGCTCACCAAACCCCCTAGGGTTTGGGAGATGATCACTTTGGGCTTTCACCCTTGGACTTGAACTTAGACTCAAATTCAGATTTAGTCTCGGACTCGGTCTTAGTCTTGGACTTGGTCTTGATCTTGGTCTTGGTCTTGGTTTCGGTTTCCATCTCAGACTCGACCTTAAGCTCTATCTTAGACTTCCTTCTCAGACTCTATCTTGAATTCCATCTCAAGTCCATTTCAGACTCTTTCTTAAACTCTATCTCAAACTCCATCTCTAGTCTATCTTGGACTCTAACTCAAACTTCAACTTGGACTCAATTTAGTGCACGTGGTTTTTACCCTTTATCCTATGGTGATTTACCATAGGATAACCACAGAAGTGGAAACTAAACTCTCCATGTGCCACATGTCATATACAATGTATCACATGCCAT